ACCCGCCTCAGCCTCCCAAAGTCCTGGGATTACAGGCATGAGCCACCATGCCTGGCCTAAATTTTTAATATAGGTATTTAAGTCTTATATTTCTTAAATGCTATGTATGAAGAATGTCTTCGTTAACTCTTTTCTAACATCAGGGGATGAACTTCTTCCAGAATCCCATTATTTACAAATATTCATTTATTAAAATTATCACAATTGCATTATTCAACAACAAAATTTAAAGAACCCAATTAAAGTTCATAGTATTTTAAACCTTTAAACTTTTTTTTAAAAAGCAGCAAGACAAACAGAAGAATCTACTTACTCAGCTGTTATGGGGTGTTATCAATCATCTCTCATAAACTGGCAGGTCTGAGCTCAGATCAGCAAGGCAGAGAAACTCCAGATGGCACCGTATCTCAACTCTTCTAACTCGTAAAAGCATTAATAAAATGCCTGTATAAGAAAGAAGCCTGGAGTTACAACCAAGACAGAACTTTCTCGAGTGGGTTGTCTAGATGGGAAATAAACCTGTTTCCTCTTTTCTTTCCTTAAATGAGGGCTTAGAACAAGTTAATTCATGGCCTTGGAGTAGCAGGTGGCCTGATACAGCAATACTTGGTATTACAACTGCTTTTCTAAAAACTCTCTGGGGAGAAGCCTAAATTGGTGCAATAAAATACTCACAAGGGCTAGAACCTGCCTTTTTTTTTTTTTGAGCTGGAGTCTGGCTAATTTTTGTATTTTTAGTAGAGACGGGGTGCAGTGGCGTGATCTCGGCTCACTGCAATCTCCGCCTCCCAGGTTCTGGCGATTCTCCTGACTCAGCCTCCCGAGTAGTTGGGATTACAGGCACCTGCTACCACGCCCGGCCTATTTTTGTATCTTTAGTAGAGATGGGGTTTGACCGTGTTGGCCAGGCTGGTCTCAAACTCCTGACATCAGGTGATCTGCCTACTTCAACCTCCCAAAGTGCTGGGATTACAGGTGTGGGCCACTATGCCCGGCCAGAACTTCCTCACTGTTTTGCCAGTGTAATCCTTCAAGTGGTAAAAATCCGTTCTCTCTAACCATATAATATATTGTCTAAATATACTTGAGACAATATATTTTTAAATATATATTTTAGACAATATACACTATTGAAAGTGAAAAGGGAAACTTCTGAAATATTTGTTGACCAATAAACTGGTTTTATTATATTGGTTTTATTCTAATAAAATGAAAATAATGTACACCCACTACTTTTAAAGGTTTCTTTGTATCATATGAACAGCAGCAGATAAACCTTGGTACACATTCATGTACTGTAATAGGCTTTTTTCTTTTTGAAACAGTCTTGCTCTGTCACCACGCTAGAGTGTAGTGGCTCAATCTTGGCTCACTGCAACCTCTGCCTACTAGGTTCAAGCAATTCTCCTGCCTCAGCCTCCCAAGTAGCTGGGACTACAGGCGCGCGCCACCACACCGGCTAATTTTTGTATTTTTAGTAGAGACGGGGTTTCACCATGTTGGCTAGGACGGTCTCGATCTCTTGACCTTGTGATCCGCCCACCTCAACATCCCAAAGTGCTGGGATTACGGGCGAGAACCACCACGCCTAGCCTACTTTTTTTCACTTATTAGTTTTGAAACAGTGTCTGTCTCTGTTTCCCAGGCTGGAGTGCAGTGGCGAGTACTCGGTTGACTGCAGCCTCTGCCTCCCGGGCTAAAGTAATCCTACCAGCTTAGCCTCTCAAGCAGCTTGGACTGCAGGTGCACGCCACCACACCTGGCTAATTTTTTGTATTTTTGGTAGAGACAGGGTTTCACCATGTTGCCTAGGCTGGCCTCAAACTCCTGAGCTCAAGCAATCTGCCCACCTCAGCTTCCTAAAGTGCTAGGATTATAGGCGTGAGCTACTGCACCTGGCCATAATGAGTTTTCTTAATAGATTCTGCCTCTTGGTATTGATTCATTGGTATTTTTTCTAGAAAAAAAAATTGAATATGGTCTCATTATTTTTAATTTTTCACAGGGTTGCCACAATCTTTTTCCATTTCATTTTATGTCAAATAATCTGAAATCACTGACACCTTCAGCTGATTATTCTCGATTCACATTATTTTTAACAAGAAAATTCTGTCTTTATGGAAGAAACCTGGTAAGTGCAAAGCAAATTCTGCTAAATAGGGGATATTCTCACTCCTGTTTCTATACCAAAATTATACATATTTCAGACTAAATATTTTCATAGGTATTATCTTTCTGCCTAAATTGGTGGGTTTTCTTCCCCCCTTTTGCCCCTCTGATCCATTTCACCAGGACACACTTCATCATGGGTCATATTTTTTTCCCCAGTGCAAATCTCACCATGTCACTTCCCAACGAAAACAGTTTTCAACGTTTCCCATTGCTCTTAGATATGATGTATCTCATAAGCCTTAATATGGAGACTTCCAAAGCCCTGCATGACCACCTTCCTTCCCAGCTCTCAGGCCACCCTGGCCCCTCTCAAATCCCCAAAAGCACCAGATTCTCTCTCGCCTGTCCCAGGGCCTTTGCAAGGTCTGTTCCCTTTGCTGGGATGCTCTTCTCTTTGGCCATGGTCATCTTTCACATCTGAGAAGCCTTTGTATGCTCCTCAACTAAGTTACACCATGCTACTCTTTCTCTCTTCCTCTCAGAAGTACTCTGTACTCTTCCTGCAAAGCACTCATCCAAACCTGTGTTTGTGTGTTTTTAGAAAGCCTGTCTCCACCAGGCTGTAACAACTTCATGAGGGTGTAGAGCTCGTGCCCGTGCTTCTTTGATTCATCCCTTTACCACCACTGTTCCCAGCACCTAGCTCGGTCCTTGGCACCTTGTGAGCCTACAATAAATATTTGTTAAATGAATGAATAAAAGACTAAGGTGGGGGCAGGTGACAAGGACAATCTAGTTATTTTGGTCCATTGTTATCTATGATCCTAAATCCAACTCCATCATTAGCTTTTCCCTCTATGCAGAATGATTCCCATCACTGTAGGTCTATGCTGGAAGGTAAGGGAATGGGAATGGGACAGAACAATGGAATGGGAGTGGGGGGGGGGAGTGAAGAGCAGGGAAGGGTGGAAAGGAGGGGGGAAGGGAGAGAGGGAGGGAGGATGGAAAGCGGGGAGGCAGGGAGGGAAGGGAAGGGAGGGAGGGGATGGGAGGGGAGGGGAGGGGAAGAAGGCTTTCTTGCCTACTGGCCTTTCGCTTGACCCCACAGCCCCATGAATCAACTTCCCCATTTCTCTAATCCAATTTTATAAGAATACTCAAAAAAGCTGACTCCAACCGCTGTCTCCAATTCTTTCTTCCATTCCCATGAGGCTTTGTCTCCACTGCTCCCCTCAAACTGCTATTATTAAAGCCAACAATGTCTTCGACTGTGAAATACCCGAAAGCCAGGTATAGGGAGAGACGCTTTAAAGGAATTATCTCATTCCTTATTTCTTTTTAAAATTTTTTTAAATTAAAAATTTAAAAAGATGAAATGCTTCACAAATTTGCATGTCATCTTTGCCCAGGGGCCATACTAATCCTTTCTGTATCATTCCAATTTTAGCATATGTGCTGCCAAAGCAAGCGTTATTTATTTTTACACAGGGTCTCACGCTATCATCCAGGCTGGAGTGCAGTGGGGCAATCATGGCTCACTGCAGTCTCCAACTCCTGGGCTCAAGTGATCCTCCCGCTTCAGTCTCCTGAATTGCTGAGACCACTGGCACATGGCACCACATCCAGCTAGTTGTGTGTGTTTATTTTTGTTTTTTGAGATGGGGTCTCACTTTCTTGCCTAGGTTGGCCCTCCACTTAAACAGTTCCTAGGCTGGGCATGGTGGCTCACGCCTGTAATGCCAGCACTTTGGGAGATGAAGGCAGGAGGATTGCTTGAGTCCAATATTTCAACACCAACCTAGGCAACATAGCAAGACTCCTTCTCTACAAAAATAAAAAGTTAGCTGGGTGTGGTGGTGCATGCCTATGGTCCTAGCTACTTGGGAGGCTGAGATGGGAGGATTGCTTGAGTCTAGGATGTCAAGGTTGCAGAGCTGTGATCACACCACTGCCCTCCAGCTTGGGCAACAGAGCTAGACCCTGTCCTCAAATTTTTTTTTTTTTAATAAATAAAACAGTTCATCACCACCACCTGATGAGGGAGGTACCACTGTTATCCTCAGAGAGAGGTTAACTGAATTCATTCAAGACTACTTGAGCAAAAAAGCAGCAGAAACCATTTTCACTCAATCTAACGTTCAATGTCAGACCTGCCAGTAGCACAGACACAGCTAACCGCTCTCCTCTTTCTTTAAGCACTTTCTTTGCTTGGTTTCCAGGACACCACAACCTCCCGACTCTCCTCCTCCTTCATTGGCCATTCCTTAAACTTCTTCTCATTATCCAACCCCTTAATGCCGGAGGGAACCAGGCCTCCGAGTTCTCAAACTTGCCTATCTACACTCTCTCTCCCTGGTCAACTCAGTGGGTCTCATCACCTTAACCAAAAGCCTGAATCTCTTCCCTGAACTCAAGGCTCATATTTTCAGCCACCTCGACATCTCCTCTTGGATGTCCAACAGACACTCCCCTCTTAACGTCACGCCACGCCAAACTCCTGATGTTCCCCTACTGCGCCCGGCCCGAAGCTCCTACAGGCTTGCCCAACTCAGAAAATAACTCCATCCTCCAAGTCATCTTGTTCTTTTTTCTTTCCCTCCCACTCTACCCAATTCATCAGCAAATCCTGTTGGCTCGATCTTAAAGCTACATCTGAATTCTAACTAATTCTAACCACTTCTACTTCTCCCTGCTCCCATCACTGCCATCCGAGTCTCCCTCATCTCCAGCTGGATGACCACAATAGCCTGGGAGCTGATGCTTCTCCCTTGCCTTACTTGTCTGCTGGGAACAGAAAATGTACCACTATGACCACACTGAAGTCTTTCAGTTGAGATTGTCATAGTAGAGATGAATTCTTCGTTATATTTGTCCCTCAAATGTTTCGGGAAAAAGTTGTTTCTTCCATGTTACATTAGTTCTGAAGATTTCAATTGCTTTCTTTTATGAAAACCTGTATTAACAAACGCCAAATATTCTATTGTTACTCTTGACTCTGAAATGAATTAGATTTCTGTGTGGGCAGAAGTATTAGCCCAGCTCTTAAAGTTCCATAGAAAATGTTGTTTGTTTTCTTCAAAGCTTAAAACCTTCCCATTAATCATCAAAATAAGATATCTCCACTACAGGCATTTGTTACTTGAAGATGAACAGAATAGAATCAGTACCTATACAAAACCCACACTGACAGGATCTCATATTTTTGAGCAAATGAAATCTGATGATCTTGTTAACAATCATGGTATTTTCTAAACCCCCTGCCTCCTTTTCTTTCATTTTCCTTTATTTATTTTTCGCTTAGTCAGAGTCTTGCTCTGCCACCCAAACTGGAA